ACCAAGACTTCACTTGTTACCAAGTTGGGGGAGTTCTATTTCGGCCCACCCAATATCGCTGGCCCAAGATCATAAACCCATATGACCTTTGCTATATCAACCCAACAACATTAGTGTTATCATGATAGCACTGCCATCTCAGTTTTGGCTCATTAAACATCGCAACGAAAGACACCCTAAATGTCTTACGTTGGAATGCCCCCCCCCCCAATTTTCCTGCATAGTAGTTGTTGCAACACTGATAGCAACTGCAAGATGCCTTGCCTAGCGAGGCCAGGCTACAATGATTCTCCCTAAATCCATTGACTTGGCTTACCCTCCCACATTAGTGGAGCTTAACCTTACTATAAATATCCCCATTCTCTCCACCATGAACACACATTATTCACTGTTTACATGAGTTGTTACTCTATTGGCCTAAAGAACCATTGTAGCTATTCAACACCTCCCTCCTATTGTTATACATAATGTTTGGGACAATTTTACATAGCCTTAGTCTATACAATTGTTATCAAATACATCCCTATAGAGACATACCTCACCCCTCGGGGATACATATGTGGTTCATACATGATTTTATCACCTCACTAAAAGTTCAATTAGCATACTCTAGTAACTATATTGTTACTCTAATTGTTATTACAGACTAAAAATTAAGTTAGAATGAAACACAATTGCTGACAATGGCACATATCCAAAAGCGTTCATGGAATTTGTAAGGAATATGTTTAATTGTAAGATTGCAAGGTATATGGGTCTTAAGGTTTTAGGAGAAATATGTTTGTGCGTGCATGATTTTCTTAATAATTATTAGCAAGTCAAAAGTACGACTATTTTTCAGTGGTTGTTATGATTAAACAGTGTTATCTCGTAAATGATAAAAAAAAGTCAATTATTAGTATTGCTATTTTTCCCATTAGAGCTATAACAACCCTCATTACCAAGTAAGGTTAAATAAGAAAATTAAGCAAGAGTTCAGTAGATCAGGTGGTGTTTATAGAATTTGTGATCAGTTATGTCAAGTAATGATCTGTTGATCATAAAATTGAAATAATGAGATACAGAGGGATATATTTCATGCCAAGCAAGTCATATAGTATATAAATATAGGTATGAAAAGAACTCAAGACATATATGTCATTATAGAGAAAGTTATGAATTACTTGGAAAATAGACTAGATGTGGTCAAAACTTGAATTGGATGTTATCATTAAATTCTTTAGAGTGTTTCAATATGATCTTGAATTAGTCTAATGATGATTAGATTAATAATTAAAAATTAGTCAGAGTTTAAGGAAAATCAACTAATAAGAATGGATATAAATCAAAGTGACTTAAAAGTAAGCAAAGCTAGTCTTAAACTTGAATTAGATTATATAATTAAATTGTGTGATAAATTTCATTGAGTCAAGGTATAATTAGATTAATTTAATGATGTTTAGATTAATTGTTAAAATTTTTACAGAGTATGGATTTAATTAGCCAATGAAAAAAAGAAGATAAAATAAGTCTTGAAAATTAAACTAGTTATTAAACTATATTATATAGTTACTAGTTAATAAAAGATCTGATCTCATCTTGTTCTTTTAGTCTTCAAATCAGCGCATGATGGGTAGGAAAGAAGATTTAGAGTGTGTAGAAAGTGGACCAATAGGAAGCTAACAAATTAAAGGAAAATAGCCTTAAAAATCAACGGAAGTGGCTTGATATTCTCTTGCAAAAGCTAGGCGGTTCTTCTTCTTCTTAAAGAGCAAAAATTTTGTACTTATTTCCTCTACATAACAGTGGCTCCATAGAAGCTTTGAGAGCTTGAGAAGTTGCTTTTCTAGTCACTAAAATTCATAGATACTTTGAGAGAAAATCATCCTTGTAGTTAGTAGAACATAATCATCGCTTTTAATCCTTGAGAGGAGCTTTACATGTTTATCCTTTCTCCTATTTTCTTATGACCTCATGACTGCCATCCATGGAAAGTGAGGTGTTTTCATGTCTTGTTGATGGGAAATTGAGGAAATAGGCACAAAGGAATGGTTTAAGGTAACTAACTACCTTTCTTAAGCTTAATTTCATGGATTTTGATTTAGGGTTTTTGAATTGGGGCTGACTTTGTATGATGTTAAATCATGTGTATATGTTTGTGTTTTGATATGTATTCGTGGTATTTTATGAGTATGGAATTAATTGGATTAAGTTTGAATAATTGGAAAAGTTATAATTTTCGTGAAAACCATAGGCCTTAAATCTGCCCTATTTTCGAAAATTTATATATGGAGTTGTAGAACTCCAAACTGAGTGAGATTTGATGCAAATTAAAGGCGCACTTGTCTAGTTTAACATATAAATCTGCCCTACTTTTAGTGTATTTTATAGTGCAGACTATTCATGCTGTAAAAATTCAGCTTTTTGGATTGTTTTGTGTAATTAAATGATGTTTGATTTTATTGGTTTGTATTAAAGTTAAATGACACTTAAAGTTACAAGTATTAAGCTTTAAAAAATGGAAATTTATGTGACATATATGTTTGGCCACTTAGTGGTTTATTGGATTAAAAATCAAGTTGTTTAATGATGAAACTTAGAAATGAATTTCAAGTATGTATCAAGTAAAATTGGTATGGTGAATCTTCAATTGGTAATATGATGAAGTAGATTTTAAATTATGTAAATATAGGTCAAGGTGTGGGTATTTAAGTATGACTTGTGGTATGACATGAAATTACCAAATAGAGATAGTAAACAAGTATTGTAATGTGTAGCAGGTAATACGATGATTTCAAGTCAGGATACTGTGAATTTTGGAAAAATTACTTGTATACCAAGTAAGCGTGATATAAAAGCACTGACAGGTAAGCTCTTGGTTAGGAGTTTTTCTCCGTCTTTGTTGTTCCGCCAAAGTCCATTAAGGATGATGGTTAAATTGTGTATATGATTGACAGTGAGATACTTGGTATATATGCATACATGTGCATTCATATAGACATATACATTGATGATGTGTTTAATTTATGTACACTGATATTGTGATGTGATATAACGTAAGTAGGCAAATATAAAGACGGATAGCAGAATTACATATCTTTCGTAGTAAAAATATAAAAATGGATAGCGGAAGTATAAATCTTCCATAGTATTAAGATTCACAAGAAATCAAGACGTAGGAAGTGATTGAGTAATTAAGACGTAGAAAGTGATTGAGTAATTAAGATGTAGAAATGGATTCTTAGTTATATAATATATGTAAAAAAAGCAGGGAAGAATAAATCTTCCGTAATAAAGGAAGGGAAGAATAAATCTTTCGTATTATAAAAAGGCAGGAAGAATAAATCTTCCATATTATAAAAAGGCAGGGAAGAATAAATCTTTCATATTATAAAAGCATGGAAGTATGAGCTTTTGTATTACAAAAGCGGGGAAGTATAAATCTTCCGTAAAATAATGCAGTGGGTTATAGGGGAGAATAAAGGCTTCCGAAATAGACAGTGAGATAAAGTCACTAGGATATACCAATAAAATTACATGTTGTATTATATGCTTTATATCTGACCTTTCGTGCAGATAGTGAACTCTTGGGTGGAGACTACTCCATAAACCTAGAGTCTTATTTGGATTCATTTCTTAACCCCGTCGTGGTGCTGTAATTTAAATTACAAGTACAGCAACAACATGAGAATTTGCAAAGGGCAAAGGACCAGTTTAGTGAGGATAAAAGAGTCTAAAGAAGTGGGTGCTTAGCCGTTTTAAATGTCTGTGTATATATGTTTTGCAGTGCATAAAGTATATGATCATGCATTTATATAGTTTGTTATCTTTTTTAGAGGCATATGTTTGCCTATGTGTGTATTATGAAGCAATGTAGTTTGATGTTGTATTGGCATGGAGCCAGTATATATATATATATATATATATATATATATATATATATATATATATATATATATTGGTTAGACTTTTATGTATTTCAGGAACAAGTTAAAATAGTGGGATTTAATCTCTGGTATAGTCCGATTTACAGTCGTTATGCTGTCCGTTAGACTCTATACGGAATGGTATAAATTATCATATCCGGATAGAAATTGGTCATTGATTATGATCTTCTGGAATTTAATTTGAAATTTGTACATGTATGGGACTGTACAGATAGTTGTAATAAATAGTAGAAGTTAATTGGAAAAAAAAAAGTTATGCAGCGAAATCACATCGGTTAATTTTAAGTTTTATTAAGTGTTTCGCTACTTTAGTCTAGTTGTGCGAATATTATAACGATATGTAGTTAACAATCCAATTATTAAATTAGGACATTACAAGAGCAATGGTTGTCATAACTATTTGTCATTGACATAAAAATTTAGAAATGAATGCTCTCATTTTAAAATTTTAAATGTTTTTTGTGTTTTTTTTTTAATATTCATAAATTTTAATAGAATATTAAAAAGATACATAACTACAAAATTGTAACAAGGTCATATGGACTCACATAAGAACATACAATTTTTCTAAAAACTTTATAACCAAAATTTAAATGTAATTAATTAATTGAATTCAAATATAGACGCACGTAACAAAATGGGGATCCTATATTACATGATTGGGGGTATAAATGAAATTTCAAAAATAAAAAAAGTTAAATAAATTTGTCTTATTAAAACTCGATATGTTATCATTTGCACACAATTTTTTTTTCATTGAAGCAAATCTGAAAACGGTGACGATAGCATTACTCGTATTCGCAAAGTGAGCGTGTTCGGGAAAAATTTAAATAATAGGACCTTATTTCCAATTAATGAAGGCAACACAAAACCCCAAAACCTTCTCCTCCTGCTAATTAGTGCATCGAAATACTTAAGTCGCAAAACTTGTAACTTAATCATATGACCTTGATTTGAATGAACTTGCTATTTGATCTATCTCTAAATAAACTAACTCCGAACCCAAATTAAAAAACAGACTGATCTAAATGGGTGTTCTCCTTCTGTTTTATTGTATTCAAATATTATTCTCCCTACAAATATACATCAACATGAAACAATTTTTTGTTGCATGCAAAAAGATGGTTCAACTATTCAACAAAATAAAGAATGGGTACTACTGCATTTACAATAATATAACATTAGCAAGGCTTAATATGAGTGGTTTTGGTGTCATAGCTTCCCAGTGCTAATTGCAACCCGTCCTTGCACGCACCCTTGAGAGCCTTAATCAAATCGACGCACATGCTCCTCACGTGCTCCTCGTAACCCCTCTGCATAACCAAGAGGATCACCACGACGCCGTTTCGCTTCGCCACGTCATCCCTCACCTTCACGTTACCGCACAAACAACACAGGCTCCACAGCACTGCCACCGCGTCTTCCGCCGCAGCATTAGGCGCCTTCGCCAGCCTCTCCAGCACCGCCGCCGCACACGACGGTTCTGCTGCCATCGCCGCCCTACCTTCCGCGCACGTCGCCACCACCGCCAGCATCCTCAGGCACCTCTCCGCCGTCGTCGAACCTGCGCTCACCAGCGTCTTCGAAACCGCCTCGACAAGTCCGGAACGGACAAGTTCCACCTTCGCTGACTGAGTCACCGAAACGACAACTAGTAGCGACAAAACGGCGTCGTTTAGCTCCTCGTTGCCACCGTCGCTGAAAAAGCTCGCGAGCAACGACAACAAACCTCGCGTTTCGGCGATCCACCGCTTCGATCGGAAATCATCGCCGGCGAGAAACTCCAAAACCCTAACAGTTTCGATCTTCGATTTCAGAGAGCCGTTTCTCAGAACGAAAACGATCGAAGCGAAGCATTCTTCGCGAGTATCAAGAATCAACCGTCGTACTCGCTCTCCGGCGCCGGAGGCCGCATCTCCGTTTGCTCGGAAAACCGAATCCAAAATCGAGATCGCATTCTCCGACGCGTCAATCCGGGAACTGCTTCCGGCTAGAGCACGAACGATCGCGGAGTCGAAGCCAGGGAAAGTCGCAAGTAAGCGGCGATTCTCGCCGGAAATTTTGGCGAATTCGGCGATTTTGGAGAGGGAAACGGCGAGGTCTTCGGCTCCGGTTTGGATTTCGCGGAGGAGAACGCGGAGGTGGTCGCCGGAGGATCGGGACTCCGGCGAGAAAGGTTCGCCGGAGAGGAGCCAGAGACGGATGAGGCGATGGAGGGTGAGGTTGGGGATGAAGTCCTTAGAGGGAAGGACCTGCATGGTGGCTGGACACGTGTCATGACCTGATTCAAGCCACTGCTGGATGCTGGAGCGATCGTATGTGACGCCGGTGCACAGGCTTACAGGGGACCTCATCACGTCCATTGAGATTGGGCACCGAAAAGGGCTCGGAACGGTGACGTATAGCTTCTCCCTTACCCTTGCCATTGTTTCTTTGTTTTTATGTGTTGTCTCAATTGCTTTTGTTTCGCACATCACACACAATGGGAGAGAAGGGTAAACACACTAGATATAGCACGGTATGGTACTATGGTAGTGATTTGTGGTTGATATAAATGGAGCACGTGGTCTTTGGTCAAAGTTTTGCCTGTAATAAAAATGGGACTGTAGGACAGAGTGTATTGATGATGAAAATGACATCTTTCTTTGTTTGACCCATCAAGCAAAATTTTTTGAAAACTTAAGGTGCACTTTTGGACTAAAATTTTGTTTCACTGGGTGACACCCCAACGGTCGCCGTATTGTGTGGGGATAATACTATATTATTACTGAAGGCAAGAAACATTGATTGGATATAAACGATTTTGGCGGGGTACTGGTGAAGTTTACAAATCAAGGGGGTTCGAATCTAGAGTTATTAATGTGGGAAATTATAATCGGTGTTCATAAATATTGTATAGGTGCGAAATTAGAATATGATACTTTTTGGCTTGAGATAAATGGACTCGTGATTAATGTACAGTTCATGATGGAATCAGTTAGTTGCTTAAATGAGTGGTTGTTCCGTGTTATGGTGGAATAGGAATATAGCCTAGGGACAAGGGATCGTGGTTTACTGCGTATACTTTGATGTTCAAATAAATATTTACAAGAATAGGAGTAATGTAAAAGCAAGAAAATTCATATCTTATAGTATGAATGTTTTATATCTGAGTAATTGTGAGAGTATTTAGGACTTTGTAGTCAAGAAACGATTATGCTAGTATAGATTATGGTGGCCAATAGGCTATCATGGGAACAAGCACATATGTGCCGTTGTGGAAGGTGGCTTTACATGAAATAAGGATGTTTTGTCTTGGAATAGAAGTGAGCAACATAAAGAGTTCAAAACACATATTCACAATAGAGACTACAAAATATACGATAAAAACAGTAAATGAAATTTAATATGTTTATATTATATACTTTTTAAATTGTTGTATAATATCAGACATAAATATGACCTCTTTTTTGTTTTTTAAATAGTTTGTTTCTCTGTTATAGTACCTAAAAGGCTAAAACGAAATTAATTAACTTAAAGAGTAATTTTCCATGAAAATAATGTAAAGAAGAAAAAAGAAGAAGCAAAGATGTTAAGTAGTAAATAACAGAAAATTACAAAGTACTTTTTTAAAAAAAAATTCCTTAACAATCTTGGAGAACTAATTAACAAAAATCTCTTTTATTTATCATCATTTTGGTGCTAATTATGATCTCGTAAACATGAAACATAAAATAACCGTGTTGGGAAAAACCTATCACTTAGAAAAAGGCTTATGTTTCATTCATTACTATTAGAAAGAGTACTTGCAGCACAAATCTGAAAAGGATTGGCTGCCTATACACACATAAGAACAGGCAAGTTCATGGGATTAATAGCAAGTGCCGGGGTACCTGCCTTTGAAAGTATGGTCAATGAATTCACAAAGCTCTCATTGGCTTTGTGGAATTTCATTAAGTTTGACCATTAAGCCTTGCTTCTTCTTCCTCCTACAAGTTGTAAACTTTGGTGGTAACTCACGAAAATCACAAGCAAGTTTTCCACAAACAACTTACCCAAACTTCAACAACTCTCTTGACTCGAGAAATTCACCTACTTTGGTTTGACAAAGTCAAAATGATGACTCCTGCACCATTGATATGTGATTAACATTGGCATTCTACTTTTTACATAGAAAAATAGGTTAGCATAAACATTTTATAAAGGGTGTTAATTTAAATGACTAATTGTTTTCTTATTCTCTCATTGTATTATGTATGTATCTTCCTTTATTTCTCGTTGTATTTTGGTTTTCTGTCAATTATTTTCCTTAAAATTTTATGGTTGGCTTATCATTGAGGTTTATTAGAAAAAAAAAAAGATAAAAGGAAATGATTGTCCCATCTTTAAAGTTTAAAATCCTAAATATATTCGAGGGGTGAAAAAAATACTTAGTTGAAATTTATCAGCACTGTAAAAGCACATCTATCAATAAAAAGATGCGTGTAAATACGTTTTTAAGTCACTAAAAGAGAAAAAAATATTAAGTTATTTTTTCTTTCCTGGTTTTTATATTTTTAAACGTTTCAAATCAATCCTTACGACTTTAAGGAATCGGAACGGGCAAAAAAATTAAAATATTATTGTTTTAATAAATAATTATCAATAAGTTGTTGTTTTGAAACTAATTACGAACATACTGCAGTCAGTCATTCACGTCCTATGAAGCACCGACACTTCAAAATCTCTGACGTGTCGTATCCGACATTTTTCGACACTCACCGACACTCCGACACTTTTCGACACTCCAATACTTGTTGCAAAGACTTAAAAAAATGTTCAAATGTTACGTTGCGTTGCATTTTGAGTTTCAACTATTAGATTCGTTAGATTACGATTACTATTTTATTGAGTTTAATATAAATATTTGCAATATCTTATGTTTCTTTGCAAAATTGATGGATATTATAAGTTTAACTTTATTTTTTATTCAATTATTGAATATTAAATATAATATACACTGCATAAATTAAAATTATCATATAATATCAAAACGTGTCCTAACGTGTCAAAATTTAACATTTTTTAGAATTAACATGTCGGAGTGTCGTGTCGTGTCCCGTGTCCTGTGTCGATGTCGGTGCTATATAGTTCACGCCTAAGTTGAGCGTGACTCACAAGGCATTCATGCCTAATTTAGGCGTGACTGGTCTGGTGTTGACACGTGGCAGATTAAATTAACAGTTTAACTGTAAAACTTCAGGAGGCCATAACTTTTGACTCGAATATCCGAATTAGGTAAATTTTTTTTGATTTCACATAACTTTTTGAGATCTACGCAATGACATATCATTTGATATATTTTATCTCTCACAAACACAATTCAAATTTACAACAATGGTACTATACGAGAGCGTTTGAACCCAGAAGCCTCCGATCTTTTTTCAAATCAACACCAAACAGTCTTCTGCCTACTAGAACCTCTCCATCCTTATCCCATGAGTTGTATTCTTACCATTTCACCGTGAATAGAAACTTTATCTTTTAAATCATAGTCTGAAATTAAAGATGACATCAAAGTGAATTAGTCCATCTATAAAGTTGATATGATATCATGAATCATATTAAATCGTAAGATACAGAAATGTAATAAAAAATATTTAAAATATACAGAAATATGGATTCGTTGGAAGCATATAGCATATAGCCTCTGTAACGTGTATCGTGAATCATATCAAATCGTAAGATTTTTCAAATTCATTTTTGAGTTTAAATCACAAATTAAATCTTTATTTTGTTTTCGTTATTAATAATATTTTTTTAGATTTTTTTAATTTAAATTAAATCACAAACTAAATTTTTATATTAAAAATTAAAAAATTTGATTTTTTAAAAAAAAATTAAGTCACAAACCAAATCTTTATTTATTTTTTTTATATTAAATTACAAACCCAGAAGTCAGAGGCTTCTGGGTTTAAACGCTCTTATAATATCATTATTGCAAATTTGAACTGTGTTTGTGAGAGATAAAATATGTCAAATGAGGTGTCGATTTAGATACCTGGGTCAAAAGTTATGACTTTCTAAAGTTTTACGGTTCGTAAGTTGACTTTTTTGTGCAACGTGTTAACACCAGATGAACCACGTCTAAATTAGGCGTGAATACCTTGTGAGTACGCCTAACTTCGGCGTGAATGGTCACGCCTAACAATAAATCTGTAAAATTTTTCGAAATAGTTATATATTCGTAATTATTTATTAAAATAATAATATTTTAATTTTTTTCCGAATTTAATCCATATTACCTTTTCCGACAGGTCAATCACTATTGGGTAATGATTACGTAAACATTTGATACATAAGACAAGATCATATGTGTTCAAGCGTTTGGAAACAAAATATAAAAAGTCATTCCTCCATACTCACACCATACAATAACAATCTGATTCTTTTGATATTGATATTTGAAAGAAGAACATAACAACTTGAATCTTTGCCTTTTCGCGTTCCATTTTTTCTCACTACTGCAAAGCAGAGGAAAAATTAAGAATAAAGACCAAATAACAATCTGATTTTTATTTTTATTTTTTTTTGTTCTCCAGAAAAAAAGAAGACCAAATAAGGTGCCAGATTCTAAATTGGATAGACGTATGTTGAGTTCAACTCTACACTTGAAAGCTTATGTTTTTCAATTAACTTAGCCCTTTAAAACATGTAGCCAATGTTCGCATCAAATACTTAAATGCAGAGGCTATACGACTTTAGCCACTCAAATGGTTCCACGCTTTATTTTTTAGCCGCTATTTTTCAAACTATCCACGCTCTTTTTATTTTTTCCTGTGTCTTGAAAGAGATCTTGCTGGAGAGGAGAGGAGCATATTTGAGCACTATATTTCATTACTAAATGTAAAAAAATAAAAAAAAAGTGTGATTCATGGCATAAAATATTTTTTTTTTTTACTTTAACAAGTGATATACTGAGTTTTCAGTATTAATGGGATATTGAAAATATTTTTGTTCAAGAGAAATTTAAGAGAATGAATATATTAACAAGAAATAATTATTACAAAACACATGGATTAACTGATAAATAATTTTTTTGTTAAATAATGATTTCCAGTTTAAATATTGGATATACAATTGTATTAAAAACATAGTAAGGAGAACTTTGTCTCCCATGTAATCTTGCTCTATTCTAACCGGATTAATTAAGTAATCTATTCATCGGAAAGAAATAAAAAAAAATATTAACAAGAAATAGACTTTATAACAACTGATTTGAAAAGTTTAAAAAATATAGCACTAGAACCAAAAAAGCATGTAATTTAAAGGAGTTAAAAATATATTTAAGCATAAAGTTTGATGTCACGCATCTAAAATTTTAAATTGATAACATATTAAAAAACATTGATCGAACATTTATGACTGACCCCGTTACATTCAAAAACGCAATTAATTGGTGGTCCAATCAGTCAGACCAAATAAATATATTATGGCCACATGAAGTCAGATAATAAACCCATGCGCTTCTGGCTAAAAATTGTCCACATGTGTATAATAATGGTCTACATATATTATACAGAAAATCATTTTGGATATGTGCCACAGAACACAAATATTTAAGTGGATGT